ATACCTTGTGTTTATAAGAGACAGCCAATCAGAAGAAGGTTTGCTTAAAGGGAGGAGCAGAGTTGTTTAGGACAGCTGATGAACTCTGGGGCAGCACTGCAGTCTAAGATAAGATAAATAAGGGTTATTTTGAGCTGTGGATCATGTAAAGCTTCTCTTGTAGTCAAGAATAAAACAAGTTGAGAAAGAACTTAGCATAACAGGTCCAAAAGGCCAAGCTTATATTATTTCTGGAAGCCAAAAGAACCCAAGCACTTATTGGTACTAACAAATTAATAATAATAAAGATAAAAACATTAGTGAGGTTTAGTGAGGTGGCACTGGTGGTGCTGTTGTGAATGGATCGCATATTTGAGGGGATAACAGAGTGGGAAAACTGAGACTTATCACGTGTGTTAGAAGTGGTCAAAATTGTATGTGTCCTGGCATGAGGATGGTAAAATGGTATGCCATATGACAATCTGCAGCCTTCAATATTACGCTTACCTTAGACCGGAGGTAAACTCAGAGAAAATAACCATTTTTAAACTTAATTGTTGTTTCAGCACAGTTTTTCCAACATGCTAAGCTGGAGAATCCACCAAAGCAAGTTCAATCTGTGTCAATTTTAAGGTCTTAAGACCTTCGTGATATAGATTTTTAATGCTTGATAGGCGTCTGGGTCTGAACACATCATCTTGTCACTCCATGCACTAGCCCTAGGCTGTGTAAGAGGAAGCTACCAATAGCTGGTCAGGAAACATTTGTGTATGTTTTTTAGCAAAGCCTGAAGACTGACAAATGTTTCTGTTCTGATGATGTGTTCTTTTTAGTAAGCCTGTTGGTTACAAAAGAAAAAAAAACTCAGAAAACTCACACAGGCTAGCTTTATTATTATTTATGTTAGTCAAATGTCTAACAAACTAAAATCCAATAGATAAACACTGTTTGAAACTTAAGCATCACTCTACATATATGAATCTACACAAGAGAGATTTTTCCATGTTACATAATCACTATGAGCAAGCTTCCATGCACATACTGACACTCAATAAACCACCCTGTCAGAATACTATACCATTATTAAATCACCTTTCCTTGAATGCATCTCCCTCTTTCTTTCTCAGTTTTTCAACCCCTCCCAGCTCTTTTCAACTCTATAGTTCCTGCAGTGATATTAATCTTGTCAGAATCAGGAATAAGTAAAGGAATAAGTAATAAGTTAAAAATGTTCGTCATATTTGGAGTTGTCTTTGAGGCCGCAAATATACTGGCTGACTAAAATGTTAAAGACATCTTTATTTAAAAATATAAATGACAGTTAACGTCACTGTTTAGCTGGCAGCACCTCCAGTCTTCACAGTGAGCACATCCAAACACAACAGCTCGGTGCCAGTCAGGCGTGATGATACAGTTATTTGGCACCATCTAGTGACCATTTCTATCTATCGCGATTATATTGGGAAGAGTAATGATTTTCTGATCTGCACACAAGTCCTGATGCACATCTGTTTCTACCATTAAAAACACTGAAAAAATGAAGATGAAAATAGTTCTAACAAGTTTCTCGTCATAAAGTTTGTCATACCTGATTCCCTTTCTTACAGCTGCCAAAAAAAAGATATTTTGGATGAAATAATAAAAAAATAATATATATGCCTAAAATTTTGATTTTAAGCAGTCTGATCACTTGAAATATTTCCATGTAAATTTGTTCCCTAAGCAAAACGCAAAACATTAAATCTCATCAAATCTGGTCAAATGAAATTTACGCAGCTGGTATACAGTGCCAAGCATATTTTCCTTAATGATCAATTATTTTAATAAATAAACCTCTATTTTATATATTTAAAATGCATTTAACTTGCACAGAATTATAATTGTTCTGCTTGAATGATATCATGCTGGAAGGCTTAAAATGTAACCATAAATATGCATCTCAGCTAGCATTTTACAGCAAAGAAGGAAGCGAGATCTTCAAATGAAAGTGCAGCAAACTCAGTGTAGTACGGTACCACAGTTAGAGACGCACATTTTACCCACACTTTTAAAGGGAACTTATCTAAAGTGTTGAATACACAAAGGTTTCTAGGAAAACTGGCTCAGCATTCAAGAGAACTTCATGTAATTGTGTTTTTTTTGTTTTTATTTTGTTACACAACACATCTTGTGAGTTAACTCTCATTTTATGTGCATGAGCTTTCTTCTTAGCAAAGAAACAGATGTCTTCTAATTCAATTACTTATCCTTTGTGCTAAGTCATTTATCAAAAAAAGGTTAAGGCCCACTCAGGCCTTGGCGAGTGTTTCGGCAGACATTATCTACAATAAAAACGCACAAGACTTCAACCTCCTCAAAGTAAAAAGCTCTTATCTCTGTATTTCTTAACAATGAGCCTAGAGGGTTGTGTACAACTGAAGCTTTAATGAACTTGTGGGCTTGTCCTAGTCAATGTCTGTTCTGTTCTGTTCTTATTTAATTTTATAAAGAAAAATGTCCGTGATGAACTAAAACTAAAACCTTAAGACTGCACTGCATATATTTGACCCCAAAACACTTGTTTACTAAATGAAACATTTTTAAATATTCAAAGAGTGTGTGAAATGCCCCCAACACAAATGCGACTGGTTGAAGATCTGACTGCACTGACCTGTTCTAAGAAAATGCTGACAGGTAGGCAAGAAAACCTCTCCCTGTTATCAAAGGAGCTTGCAAAGAAAAGCGTCTGGACTTCTTTAAGTTGCTTGAAAAAGTTTCACCTCTCATCCGAGAAGTTTCTTCAGTTCTAAGGTCAAATGGTGGGCTTTTCTTTGCAAGCTCCTTTGACTACAATGACCTGGATGACTGAGAACCCTCACAGACTCTCCCTGTTATATTTTGATAACATGGTGCTTTACAGTATTTCTCCAAGGGCCACATGAGATCAAGACATATTGTGACAGGTCAATTAATTTCATCTACTTCAGCAGAAAATCCTTAACAATATCAAGGCTCAACTAAACCACTGTAGGTACAGATTAGGCCGGAAAGACACCGGTGAAGAGGCACTTAGCTTTAAGAACAGCGTGATCCCAGCATCATTCAAACAGTGGGGCTGTTTTGTGGCAAAGGATCTGTGCGGACAGTTTGATCACTAAACTCAAGTCTTTATTTTTTTAAGTTTTTTAGTCATATCTGAAACCTTGATATTAACAATTGTGAACTTCCTCTGGAAGTGTCAGTACCAGCGTAGATTATCTGCTCTAAATGCAAATAACAAGCTGCTGATTAAGTTTTTCCTTTTTATGACTTGACTAATCAGGAAATCAGGGACTGAAAAAAATTATATCGGACATATACTGGCCTAAATTATATAATCCAATGCATGCCATTTCTGCATAAACAACAATTGATCTATTTTTCAGTGATGACTGTATCACTCTTTATATTTAGCTGGTATTTCTGACCTTAATATTTAAGATGATTTGTGGCTGAAATCTGAATAGGAGCCATTAGCTTATCAGCATACCACACCGTCAATCAAATAAGTAGCCACAGACAAGTAGCTCTCCTGCGACAAGTTAATTAATATGCCCAATGTGCACAGAGCTAAGGAAACCAGATCAAACATCACTGGATTAACCAAGACAACAAAAAAGTGGTAGCATTGTATGCAACACACTGATACTTTTAGTGACCTTTTGCAGTTGTCTTCTAAATTGCTGACTGTTTTTCTACACTGTTATTTTTTTTTTAAATATTTCTATTTAGTGTGGAGCAGCATGGTGGCACAACAAAAATGTCCTGAGTTCAAATCCAACCTGGGGTCAGAGTCTTTAAGTGTAGAGTTTGGACGTTCTCCCAGTGTCTGCATGGGTTCTCTCCAGGTGCTCCGGGTTCCTCCCACAGTCCAAACACATGCATTCAGTGGGGTTACGTTAACTGGTGATTCTAAATTGGGCCATAGGTATGAATCTAAGTATGAATGGTTGTCTGTCTCTATGTGTTAGCCCTGCCACAGACTGGCGACCGGTCCAGGGTGTACCCTGCCTCTCGTCCTATGGCAGCTGGGATTAATGAATGAATGATGAGTGATGGATGAGATGAATTCAGTGTCCTCCTGCATTTACAGATCCCAAATCTATAAATATTTTTGTTACTTTTTTAAAATCCCAGATACTTTCCTATTCAGATCAAGTCTTTATCTTTGCACTACTTCCAAGCACTTTGCAACTTGTTCTCTAACGTGTGCCTTTCTATTGTTTTTGTATATATGTCTCTTGCTTTGTATATATTTGTATTGTTTGCTATTAATTCCTGCTGTCTACTACTATTTATATTTTATTCCGGCACAGTTGGTGTGAAGCACCCACAATTTTGTTGCACATGTACAATGACAATAAAGGCCTATTCTATTCTATATCAATCTCTTGAGTGTCTCCACATCAACAACAAGCTTTGCAGTGGCTTAATCCTGCTCATGTGTCTAAGCCAAACAATGAAAACTCCAGGGTCATTGCTCTGTAACCACCAACCCTGGCCTATCTAACCTCCACTGATCTCTGATTGTCGAACATTTCTTGACACTGACTTTTGTGAATACCAGAGAGAATCAGAGCTTCTTAATATTTTTCCTGAATCCATCAGTATGCAGTTAGAAAACATGAATGACACATGCATGGATAATCCAAGGTCAATATCAGTTCTAAAGTGAATCCAGTGGAGGTCACTGTTGTGTGGGAGCTGGTCCTCATGTGTCACCTCAGGGCAGAATTTACCAACACAAACTCCTGAGTATGAGCTGACCTCAGAGTAACCTTCTTGGATCCAGATGTAAGCGTGTTGCAGAGGCAGAGGTGAATACAGGATTCCCCTCTGCATAATGCAGGACAGCCTCCAGCTGAGAAGGCACTGCAGCAGCCCCACACCTCACATCACATGCACGTTGCATACAGGGAGATACTGGAGTGGGCGTGGTAACAGGCGGGGGGCGGGACTTTAAGGGCCGCAAAAGCCCACCCCCTGAGCTTCTTAAATATTCAATTAGCTCCGAGCAGAGAGGCAGGCGTCAGCACGGGGGGCAACTTGACGGCAAGAAGACGCGGTTCATTCATTTTTGGAGCAGCGGGACTGCTTCATGGAGACACTAGCACTCATGTTGTGTTCCCGGAGAGTTGTTTCACTTTCTCCGGCCTGCCGTTAAACTTTTCACGGCCGTAACACCATGGACCCGCTGTGGACGGGCACCGGCGCTTCGGTACGGCATGCAAATACGTACTCTGACGTCGGCGATCATGTGGCTTTTGGCGTAGATCCTCCTTGTGATCGCCAATTTTTTCTTTCCTGTCGCCTGTTGTCTGCTCGGTTATCGAGCCGCCGAGAGAGTGTTTGAAACAGATTCGGCGTGTTTGTCGGCTCTCCAGCGGCTCTGGGATTGTACCGCACTACCTGAGCGTCGCGCCAAAACGGTGGGCAGGTAAGAAATGGAGAAACTCTTCTTCGTGTTTTTTTTTCTCCCTCATCTCCCTCCTTCTCCCCACGGCTCCCCCCTCGAAAAGTCTCTCAAGTTAAAACTGCGTGTAGTTGTTTGTTTGCGCCCCTCTCGCGGCTCGTTCGGGCTTAGCGTGGTTCCCAAAACACCCACGCGCCTCTGGATAAATATTTTAACTTGTCTGGCCGCGTGAACTTTGCCTGCCCCTGCCGTTTCCACCTGCGTGCTCTCGCAACGTTTCCCGACAACTTCTTAATTGGACGTTTTCGCCTCCTCCGCCTTTCAAGTTGTGTGTTCGGTGTGTTGTGTGACCGTGGCGGGGGAAGGCAGACGGGAGGAACATCGTGCCTACTTTTCCTCCTCCCCGTGTCGACATAACCAGCAAAACATGGCCGTCCTTTGCCGACATGTTGTTACGTCGATGGCGAGAGGGGGAACATTTGGGGAGAGTATTTTTTTCCCTCCCTGCGCCCCTCTGTCACGTTTTCGGGCTGGCCAGAGGAAACAACCGTTGGGACTCCTTACCAGCGGCGTGCACCAGCTCGCATTCAGGCGTGCTGAGGTTTGAGTGTAACTTTTGGAGTCCGACGTTGTTTATAGACTTTGATTCGTGCGTCTCTGCGATGTAGGCGTAACGTTACCCCTGGTGATGCCTCCTCCCCTCCCGAGACCGCGGTTCTTACTGCAGGCAGTGCTGTTGCAGTGGGTCTGAAACTGCTGTAAAAGCCAGGCGTGGTTCTCTTTTATTAATAATATGAAGTTTGGTCATGAGGCCCGTGGCCCAAACTGTGAACAGCCTCTGTAGCACTCAGCTGGGGTCAGTGCTGTCCGTCCACCAGTACGTTTTTGGAAGTAACCTGCGTGTACACACTGAGGTGACACAATGCCCAAACATAAATGTTAACACATTGCCCAGTTATACATTCAGGATGTTTCCTTTAATAATTGTTTATTTATTTTTACACATAACACTGCATACAGATCTGGCTCTGTCATCTTTATTACTGGATAAATACTCATTATGAACATTTGAGGTCCTTCAGGAGAGCTAAACTCAATCTAAAGACAGTTGGGTGATACCTCAGTCTGGCACTAAGTTTCTTTACCAGCTATGCAGTAAAATGCAGTGCAGTTGGCTCTGTTAGCACTTCATTCATGTGGGCAGTCATCATTATTATTTTCCATGCAGCACATGGGGAAAAATCATTAATGTGGGTGACTGTTAAATGTTCTTATTTACCAAATAACAGACAGAGGTGTTTGTGTGAGTAATAAGGAAAATTAATGGTGACATTCAGTTACAGCAGTCTGCAGCAACTGCCAGTGGCACTTGTGGTTTGATTATCAGTGCGCAGATTAAAAATAAAGCCACACTGCAAATACTGTCTATAATAATTAAAAGTGCACGTACAGTAGTGTACAGTCGGCATGGTCACTCCCTACAAGTGAAGAAACGAGTTGGTTAAAAGAAAAAAACATTCCCGCAATTGTCTGTCTGGTGTAAATTTTTAAAATGTGTTGTTCATTTCACGCTGTTCCCTCAGCTCTACGATGACCTGATGTTTTGTGTTTCTAGGCTTTCTCTGATCAACAGCGATTCCTCCCCTCCCACCCTCTTGTGTTAAAGATGTAAGTGATTTTGATCACAGTGCAGTTAACCCTCCTGTCAGCAGCGTTACCAGCAATTCCTCTGGGTATAAACTTGGGCTCCGCTCACTAAGCCACGCACCCTTGCTCTTTCTGTGTGAAGAGACATTTGGCTCGTGTTTTTGTTCTTCGCGTGGTTTTCCACTTGTGATCTGCCAAAATCAGAGAAGATGTTATGTAATTTGGAATGACAGCCGGATCGGTAGCTGAACAATCAGAGCGGATACCTTCTTTTCTGGATTAGAAGTACACAATCACATTTTGTTTTTTTTTCTTTTCTTTTTTTAAATCGTAATTCGCTTTATTGCAGAATGGTGTAGGGAGCGTTGCTGCCAAAATTAATAAGAAACCAGAAAATTTGCTCAACAAACAGACTGTTAAAAGCCAGTAAAATCCCTATTGCCATCTGAAATCAGGTATATGGGACAACATTACTGATTTGTTTTTACAGTTTGGCAGATGTGTTTAATCCCGTGAGAAACACAGTTTAATTTATTTATTTATTTTTAAGGGATATGTTCTCGGTATAGCTCTAGGGATTAGAGAAATGCACAGATGTCAGTGTCCTACCTTGTCCGATGCATCAGCCATCGGTCCACCATCACAACACTGTGGAGAATTTTAGCAAACAGACAGTCATTGGGTTTATTTATTAAAGCGTTATGCTGCTATAGTTTTTAAAGAACTGGCATAAAAACAAATCTGCTCTTGTTTAAAAGCTGATTTTATTTATTCTCTCCTTCCTAGCTTCCTCAACAGTGTTTCTCAATGTACTGTGACCCCTTCGAATGTCACAGCCAAAACATCCAGCTGGGAAGTGAGCCGCTCTATTTGTTCCTAGAGGCGTTTTATTCGTTTGCTCTAGTCAGATGGTGGAAAATGAACAAGACTCAGTCTGTCACAGTTATTCAAATAAAGAGGGGGGAAAAAATCAGAGCATCAAGAATTGGTGTCAAATTATAACCGAGGAACTGAATGAAAACAGAAAGATCTTTCTGTTTGATTCAGTCCCGACAGCCTGTAAACAAGCTGTTCCAAATCAAAGCAAAGCCAAAAGGTGCGTTAACAGCGGGAAAAGTCAAGGCGTTAAAGCCTGATGTTTTGTTTATTTAAAATAAAAAAATTACACACACGCTGCAACCAAGCTAGCTTTTTATCTTTCAACATTGTTTTTGTATTCTGACAATGAATTGAGTGCAGTCTAGTCAAATGTGACTTGTAGAGAGGACGTGTGATATCTCATTGTTGACAGTCATCAGGATTGGCACAGATGTTGTATGTGCCAATCATGCTAGCAATCTTGTGAGATTGTCAGAGTGCAAATAAGCTAATATGGAGCAGAAGACTAGCAGTTGAGGGGTTTTTTTTGTTGTTTTTGTAATAGAGAATTTCTGTTTGTTTTTGTTTCGATAAATGAAAGTGGACAGGCAGCTTGAGGTTTTTTTTTGTTGGTTGGTTGGTTGGTTTTTTAGGGGTCTAAGCTTCCTTGAAGGCAGAGAATGACATTAGGATTAGATAACAGATTTGATCAAATTGAACTGTTCTTGGTTTTCAGATTGCTTTTCTCTTCCCAGTCCAGCTCTTGTGTAATTTGTCATACCTTCCCTTCCTTAAGTATGGTTTCTTGACAGCCACCCTTTCACTAAGAACATTCCTGATGAGACTTCAGTAAACAGTAGATGGATCAACTGAAGCGTCAGATGCATCTGTGCATTTCATTACGTATTACATTTGCTGGCCTGGATGTTAGGCCTGCCACTTCTTTTATCCTCCAACAGAACACTACACACCATGGAGAGACATGCAGGTTTTTGGCTCATAGCTCTTTGGGAATCACCTTGTGGGTGAAAAAATGTTATTTTACACCTCTCAGACTTCTATCTTTGGCATATTTAAAAAAAAAAAAAAAGTTGTAAATTCAACTAAAGAAAGGACAGAATTATGTTTTTGTGACAGGCTGCTAGCAACAAAAGAAACCTATTAAAATTGGTTATTTGATAAGTCGTCTGTTATGTTTGCACGCAATAGTTCATATCTTGAGTTGGATGCCTACTGGAATTCATAGATCAGTGTTAAATCTCTTAACAAACAAAATATCCTCTGAAGCAAATGTGGTGAATCAAGACTTTTACACAGTACTATATATAATGTGTACTTTTAAAATATACTTTTCCTGCTGTTGTTAGCATTTGAAGTAAGCAACAGGTTTCCACATTAACCCCGGGCAGATTGTTGTAGTTTGTTTAACTCAAACAATAATCTGAAGCACGATAACATCAGAGCCTGTTCAATTTATAGTGACAGTTAGGAGGGTGTAATGATGGGAAATTTGTGTTAAAAGGGGTCATTGCCATAATGTACGCTTAGTAGCTCGATGGGCGTCTGCTCAATTTTTTTATTTTTTATTTTTTTACAGCCGTATGTTCACAGTGAACCATCATTTTTGTGTTTGTCTTTAGCTCACGCTTGTATTCCACAATATACGGCTGCTGTATTTTTAGAGACTAGCAGACCTGTCGTGGGTTTTTTAACTCAGAGTTTTTTTTTTCTTTTATACTAATTGGGAATGCATTTCCTGTCCACACATCACATTTCCACATCAAACTGTGAGTCCTATAATGGCTGTCCATTCTCTTGGTGAAACACTGGAATGAGTCATCACGGGTTGGAGGATGGAGGTTGTTGCTGTCATCACGGCCTGTCGTGCTCAGCTTGGCACAGTACTGACATCACCAGCATCTACGCTGTGCTTTGTTCCAGTGTTTTCTCAGTTCAGGTCCTCCTCTCCACTGTGCTTCCGCCGGCTTCTCAGACGTGTTGTTAGGTGACTAAGGTAACCACGGAGATGAGCTCATCACCTGTAGGTGGGGCTGAGAGGGAGGATGTGAGGAGACAACTTAGGGAAAACAAGAAATCAACACTTGTGTTAGAGACTACGTGTGATGTCTGAGCTTGGTACATAAGGAGACGTTGGTTAGCACTTACCGTACTGAAAGTGATGCAGACGGACAACTGAGCCAATGGAGACTTGAGCCTCACACACATTTTAACCTGTAAAAGTAATTCTCCATGTTAGCATCAGGTCGATATTTCAGCTTAAAAGAGCTGCCATTCGTCACCTCAGGCCCTAGCTGAATTCCTTGAAATATTCCCCCACAGCAGAAACATTTCCAGGTAAAGCACACAAAAGGTCGCAGCGTTCTTAACCGCTGACAGTTTTACGTTTCCACTAAGGCAATCCCCATCTCTTAATGGATCACTTGATATGGTGTCGCCTGCTAGTTCTCTTGAAAATCTTATCGCCGAATGGGGGGCGGGTCACGGATAAGGAACTGAATGTACATTTACAATGCTGGAAATTCAAACTGAATGAAGGGTGTCGAGGAGAAAACTGGTGACACGGAGAGAAAGAAGGGGTGACAAAGAAAAGAAAGGAGACACTAGAGTCAGAATGTCTAAGCAGTGTGAGAGAGAGAGAAACAAGAGACAGTCTAGCATTGAGACTGCAAGATAGGTGGGTGTGTGTGGGAGAAAACTGTGTACACTGGAACCCACCATTAATATCTGCAGTCAGTCATTTTATAAGCAGTGGATCATTGTATTTTATTAAAGTGCTCACTGCTTAATTGCCACATTGCTATTCACCAATAGGCTTAAATAATTCTCTTTTTTTTTCCTTGTGTAAGGATTTTACCCTCCTGTGTACGCCACCCACCAGCCAGTGGTCTTGTTTCTCACAGCTTCTGCAGCAGGGTCAAACTTAAAATAAGTTGTGCTGAACAAATCCACTGGTGAAATCTGAACTTAACCACCACATGGAAGTTTAAAAAAAAAAAAAAGAAAGTTGGTTTTATTTTCCTGCACACAGTCATGTAGACCATTTGTGCCTGAGGATGTGTACACATTGGCTTCTCTGCTACCATCAGGCTGTGTCCTCAAGAATTTCAAGTTTAAGGGAAAGGGAGAGGGTGCTTGGAGAAGAGGGAGCTTGCTAAAAGCCTTTCTGCACTGCACCACGTCAGCCAGTGGAAACGCTCAGACACACCCCTTCTGCACAGCCGAGTCCAATGGGGAAAGGCTGGAGATCGTTCACAACATAAGCCACACCCACTGCAGGGAAGGCAGAGATTGACAGGTGGGAAATCCATCCGCACAGAGCATTGACTGCTCACCGAGGCTCGTGGCAAACACGAAACACTCCATTGCAAGGTAGTTTAGAGAAATGTGGCGGCAGAGTGTCCTCTGCATATTGAGGACATACTATATGCAAACATCACACCGCATTGCGCTACAGTGCAATTTCACTTGGGGCAAACTTTGGACTAAAGCTTTAAAAATCCCTCTCATGTTCTGTTGTTGACCTGATTTGAACTTTGCCCTACTTAATTTGTGCCCTAAATATAACCGAATAATCACATTTTGGGGAAAAGCCTAATATAGTATGGTTTGGCAAGTCTTTTAAGCTTTTAAAAGTGTGTGGAGTACAAGAGTTTTATCTGATGGGAGAGTGAAAAAAGAGTGCACAGCTGGGGTGGGTGTGGTTGCAGTGGATGAGTAGTGTGCAAAGAGGAACACAGAACCAATTTGCCTAAACAAAAAAAAATGTTAATGAGAGATATATTTTTTAACTTTTTTTCCACTTGTGGTTACCCAACACCACATCTTGCTGTATTAAATGAGTGCTCAATGACATTTTGGCTCTCATCATTTGGGTCGCCAGGGGAACCCCATCAACAAGTGTTCATCACAATTGTTATAACATATGTTATAATAACAACAGTCCTATAAAACGACAGGTAAAACGTTACTCTAGAAATGGCAGAGACCAAGTTTGTTTTTGTAACAATGCCCAAGACTGAGCTGATGGTTATGAAGTATAAATACTGTAACTAGCTTCTACACTCTTTCAGCCTGCAGTAAACTGCTGGTATCCCAAGTCTGACTCGCAGCTGTACGCATACGTCTCGGTCATGTCAGCAAAG